CGATCATGTTGCTCGTTGGTGAAGGTATTCATCTCCTGCAGAAGTGTCCAAACATCAGCACGCAGCCTCTGGTTCCACGTGTTGTCCTCCAGGCATTCGAGCCAACTGCTCGCGACAGTGATGAGGTCGGTGAACTTGGTCACGTACTTGGATGCCTCTTCCACTTTCGCCATGTAGCTCGAAACTGGTGGACCTGCATACTCTGGTTCACCTCCAGGCCCCTCAGGTTCTTGGGAGTCTAGTGCGATCACTCCAGGGACCAGCAGTGGATGTGGCTCTGACGGCCCAGCCAGCGGCGCCGCTGGCGGCTCTGCTGGCCCCGCCGCTGCTGGCGCTGCACCTGGAGCAGGTGGTGCTCGGCGAGATGGCACAATCTCCCCTGCGATGCCAAGGCGGTGGCCCTGTCCCGCAAACGCCACGAACTCGCGGTCGGCGCGAGCGTCCTCGCCCATGGCGTGGACTCGCCGAGTTGGAGAAAACGCAAGCCAACGAATCGGTTTGGTCCAAAATGGCTACAGACGGTTGTTGTTGAAGACCATGGGGCTGCATTGGGCGTATTGTTGTTCCCGTGCCCTTGTTGTTGCTATTGCTCAATCGGTTGAAGAGTAATTGAAGAATAGATTGAAGAATAGCTATTCTTCAATTTACTCTTCAATTTACTCTTCAATTTACTCTTCAATTTACTCTTCAATTTGTTGTTCAAGGAGGCCAAACTGTTTTCACACAGTGACAGAGGCGCAGAGACTCAAGAGCTCCTGGAGGCCTAAGGCTTGAAGCATTCACAACGTCGTTCGGACGCATCGCCCTGCTAAACGGTATTTGCAAATCAAGTGCGATGGAATTCTGTTTTGAATCATGTAATCGTTGAGTCTACCTTCACTATGCTATTCAATCGATTCCTGTTCAATCTACTCTTCAATATACTGTCCAATCTACTCATCTATCCACTGTCTAATCTACTCTTCAACCTACTCGTCAATCTACTCTTTAATCTACTCTTCAATCTACTCTTCAATATACTCTTCAATCTACTCTTTAATCTACTCTTCAATCTACTCTTCAATCTACTCTTCAATATACTCTTCAATCTACTCTTCGATCTACTCTTCAATCTATGTCCCAATCTACTCTTCAATATATTCTTCAACCTACCCTTCAATCGGTTGTTCAATCTACTGACAACCCTGAAAGAACCTCGGCCCTAGACAACCCCAGACAACCCTGAAAGAACCTCGGCCCTGGACAATCCTACGATACACCCCAGACAACCCTGAAAGAACCTCGGCCCTAGAAACATCCCTAGAAGCTCAGTCAAGGGCACATCAGGCCCATGAGAAGCACGATCACACGGCCGAGCGCCAATAGCCGTAACCCAGCACGGAGCGGAGGAGAGAGGCGAAGCCTTGCAATTGAAGTTCAGACACTGGCGATCTGGAGTAGGAGGAGGACGGGCAGGAGGAGCATAAAGAACAAGATGAGTGCAAATATACCACGGCAGGTTTTCAAGACAAGGCCAGCAACAGACTGGTAACATTCTGAAGCACGTCTGCGAAAGCGAGCCCCGATTCGCCTTCGTCATCCCTCATTGAACTCCCCCTCGGAGCTCGAGACTTATCCTCTGTAGCCGACGGCCTTCTCCCAGCGCTCGATCATCTTCTTTGCGTACTTCGTGGCTGCAAGTTTGGCCCTCTCGTTGTCCCAGCCCTGCCGCAGGCGAAACTTCTTCTCGAGGTGCCATGCGTTACTATGAGCTCGGTTCCGAAGCACGATCATCGGTACTCCAGTGACGCCGATGTACTTTGCAATGGGGTCGACCGTCTTCTCCGTGTCTCCGACGGTGGCGTCAGTGTTCGGCTTGCTCTTCTTGCTCTTCATCGGGACTTTCGGTGGGTGTGCTCCGTGCTTCCTTACCTTCTTCTTCTTCTTCTTCGTCTTCCTCTCCCCATTCGCGTTGCCACCCTTGTCCTCCTGCTGCTGCTCGTCGCCGCCCTCGTCGTCAGTAGAATGCACGGGCTCAGCCCCAACGCCGCACGCAGCCTTGGCGGCCTTACGCGTTGCGGCAGAGTACTCTTGGGGAGCTGGGCCAACAGGTGGGTCGGCAGCTAGCATTGCAAGGTCCGCTGCCGTCAACGACTGCTTCGATGAGGTCGAACTCGTCGCCACATGTGTCTTCGACTGGCCGAAGATCCTCTTCTCCAAAGAGTCGTCGCTGTCTACTGCGATGTCCTCGTCACCGCCATTCATGCTGACGTCGCTAATCTCCACCAGGTCGACGGGCGCCGTCTTCTCGACAGGCACCGCGGACGGGATGTCCTGTTTGCCTCGTAGTCGGCGGCAGGTGGCATCAGTCGGGCCAGACAACCTCATCATATTGATCAGGATTGCGAACTGCTGGAAATTGCGAGGCGGTCCAAGGTCACGGCGCTTCCGATCGAGAAGAGTTTGCAGCATCATGCGAAGGTTCAGCACGCACTTGTCCGACTCGGCAGGCGACCATGCCATGCCATGGGCTGCCAGCCAGGCGGAAAATTGGCGATGAAAACTCTGTTGATGAGGAATCAGCCCGCCCGTTGCCAAGAGAATCGCATGGAGCTCGTCGAACGACTTTCTCACTGACGGCCAGTCGCTGGTATGGCCACCCTTCGTGACTCTGTCTAGAGCCCACAATGATTTAGGCGAGCATGTTGCAAGCTTTACATTCTGATCGAAAATAATATTCGCCTGGGCGCCGTCAAGATCGCACCCTGGAGTACGATGAGACGCCATTCAGCCAAAACGGCTATACGACATATGTTTCTGTGTGTTGCGTTTGCGTGTCGTGATTTACTTTGTGTCGGAGAAGTTCAGTCTAAGATACCTTCCGACAAAATGTTTGCGTTTCGCTTGAGACATCCTCAGAATTCTGGGATCTGCGCTTTGATGCTTTCGCCTTAGGCTTTTCAAAATCAGCCGTTTCGCCTGGGACATCCTCAAACAATGGCATGTTATTTAACTTTGGATCGAATCGGAGGCGGAGGTGACCGTGGCTTTCGTGATGAAGATCGGTTCGTAATACACCCCCACCCTCGAGTAGTGGAAGCGAAGAAGCATGACGAAGATGATGCGGTAAGTGAGAAGATGGCGAGATAAACGAGGAGGAAGAGAGGGATTGGAGGATGCATAGCGTAACGGCCGCCACCCAGTTCAGACGAAGAGCAGGAGAGCAGGATGAGGGGGGGGAGTCAAGGATGAGGATTGGCGTAACGGCCGCCACCGAGAGCAGGAGGAGGACGAGGATTGGCGTAACGGCCGCCACCCAGAGCAGGAGGACAAGGATTGGCGTAACGGCCGCCACCCTGCGAGGGGAGGAAGGGAGGATTAGCGTAACGGCCGCCACCCAGCGAGGAAGGATGAGGGCAAGGTAGTATTGGCGTAACGGCCGCCACCCAGTTGATTGAAATTCCTCCGCCTCCTTCCTGATACACACACGCGCACGCAAGCACACGCACACGCACACACGCGCAAACCCACGCATGATATATCATCGATGCTCCTCCGCCACCGCCTTAAATAAAGGAGAAACGAGGAGAGATGGAAGAATGATTGAGGGCATGGCTGCTACCCAGACATAAACAATGGCGACTGCACCAGCAATGGCAAACAACAGTGGACATAACCAGGACGGCATCGCCAATGCATCTTTTCAGTGGAGCTGGCTTTTCCTCTGTTCCTAGATCAGAAGCTCTATAGTGGCACACGTAGTAAGATATTTCGACGTGACGGTCAGCATTCGTGAACACTTGTTCGCATGAGTGAGCCCCGCAACTAGTTTTGAGGACAACCCTTAAAACCATATCGTTCAGTGAATTTACGGTATTACCTTATGTCTTAAGGTTTTTCGCAATGCGTTTTGAAGTATTTCTTGGTTTTAAGGGTAGTATTTGAGGGAATCCCTTTAATCCTTGTGCAAACCACCCGCAATTCAACATGAATCCGTTGATTCGTAAGGAATCCTCATTTAAATGAGGTTGTTGATGGTCGGGGTCCCCCCCCCCTACCCTCCGGATCCGGAAAACTGGAGGGGGCCACTACCGGTTCGCACCCCCCCTTCCCCTTTCCCCCCCCCCCCTACTCACCGCCAGCAAACGACTCCCGGTCCCCACCACCGTCCGCATCACATCCCCCACTGGTGTTCCCAGCACCACTGTCCTCACCACCGCTGTCCCCACTGGTTCCACCACCGCCCCTACTGTCCCCACCAGTGGCCCCACCACTGTCGCACTGTCCCCGCTGTCCCCAGAACTGTTCCCACCACGGTTCCACTCTCCCCACTGTCTCCACGGCCCCAACCACTGCCCGACTATCCCCACTGTCCCCACTGTCCCACTGACTCCTCCGCTGTCCCACTGAGCTGTCCCACTGTTCCCACCACTGTCCCCACTGTCCCCACCACTGTCCCCACTGTACCTCTGTCCCATTGTCCCACCGCCGTCCTCGCCACCGCCTTCACCACTGTCCCCACCACCATTGTACCCTCCACTGTCCCACTGTTTCCACCTCATTCCCATTGTCCCCACACCACTGTCCCCACCACCACCGTCACCACCACTGTCCACTGTCCCCCCCTGTTCCCACCATTGTCCCCACCACTGTCCCCACCACTACCGTCCCCACCACTGTCCCACTGTCCCACTGTCCCCACCACTGTCCCGCTATCCCCTCACCACTGTCCCCACCAACACCGTCCCCACCACTGTCCGCACCCCCACTCGGTTTTCGAGGGGGGGGGGGGGTTCGAACCGGTAGTGACCCCCCCCGGTTTTCGAGGGGGGGGGGGGGGGGGGAGGGGTTCGAACCGGTAGTGACCCCCCCCCCCTTTTCATGATGAGCTGGGGGGGGGGGAAGGAGGGGTTCGAACCGGTAGTGACCCCCCCCGGTTTTCTGGAGGGGGGGGGGGAGGGGTTCGAACCGGTAGTGACCCCCCGCGGTTTTCCGCCAGCAGCGGTAGAACACGCTCTTTCAAAATGAACGACCTCATGAAATCAATTTCCACCTCCTCTTCCCGAGGGAACGAGAACGGTGACCCTTACCACACTCTCCACCGCGGAAAGCGTCAATGTCGACCATGAACAAGATTACATGTCACTGGATCCCAAAAATACTACTGCAGTGTCGTTTTCCCCGCGACCGCGGGGAACGGTGGCGGGCGCGCCCGGTGCGAATCCTGGTCAAGTGAAGTAACAGTTTGGGCTGCAGCAGCCTGAACAGACACTAGACACAAAATTCCTTCCAATGGAAGCACGAGAGTCGGGTCGGGCGAAAGGGGGGATAACACAGGGGGGGGTTGAGAATCAGCTCACGTAGCTGATTTTCCCGGCGCCTCCTGGCGCCGGGAGCGCCCATGTACAGAGGAATGGGCCCGGCGGCGAGGCCGAAACCAGCTGCATGCAGCAGATTTCGTAACCATTCTTTTCCCTATCCCCCCTTTTCGTCCGGCCCGAGAGAGGGATCGCCTCCCTGCCCCCACCTCGAAGAACAAACAATGGCACAAGCAGAAACTCTCGGAAGCCCGCGCTTACTTCTCAGATCGGCGCTGAACGCTCCTCCCCGGCGCGCGGAGAGCGCCGTGGGCGGCGCCGGAAGCGCCGCCAGGGGGCTCCAGCGCCGATCCGAGATATATCCGTGCGGACCTCCGGAAAATCATATTTATACCGTTGTTTGCGCTCCCACCGCGTCACTGGCGACAAGCGAGGGGGGGAAATGAGAAGGAGGCCTTTGCAGAAGGCGGCGGGGCGTCTCAGAAGCCCCCGTGCCTTCTGAGAAAGCTTCTGCCTTCGGGGGAGGTTCCGAAAACTGCTCAGAAGGCTGGGGGGCTTCCGAACCTTCTGAGAACAGAAAACGGAAAAACACCATAAAGAGAAACTGTCGGCGCTCCGCGAGGACTTCTTGGGTCTGCGCTGCACCACCCTCCCTGGCGCGCGGGGACCGCCAGGGGCGGCGCCGGAGGCGCCGCCAGGGGTTCCCCGGCGCAGATCCAAGGAATCCGCGCGGAGCGCCACAGGTTTAGGATCATGGCGTGTGTTTTCTTCTTCTTCGACGAAAGGCCCGCCCCCTCGTCGTTCCCCCCCCCAGCGCAGATCCGAGGAATCCGCGCGGAGCGCCACAGGTTCAGGAGCATGGCGTGTGCTTTCAACTTCTTCTTCCTCTTCGAGGAGAGGCCCGCCCCCTCGCCGCTCCCCCCCCCCCCCTAAGGAGGGGTAGGATTACGGAGGAGGGGGATTAAGGAGGAGGGGGAGGAGGAGGGAGGAGGAGGAAAAAGGGGAAAAAAGGGGGAGAAAGATTAAGGAGGAGGAATCCTCCCTCCTCCTTAATCCTCCTCCTCCTTAATCCTTCCCCTCCTGACCCCCTGGGCTGGCCGCCGATGTTTGCTCTCCCACCACATCAGTTGAGCAGGGACCGGCCGTCCCGGCAGTCCTGCAGTCCTACCACGACACGTTGTCAGAGCCCAACGCTGTTCTAAGAACAGAGGCAGTGTTCGTAGAACGTGAACCCGATATGATAAAATCAAGACAGGCTCCGCCAGAAACGTTCCAAGAGCTTTTCGTGTTGGAACCTCAAAAAGTTCTCAGAACATTATTTGGTAGGGCCTCAGGCGAGCCAGGACGCTTCGCCACTGCTGGACTCTTCGCTCCCCCCCTCCTGTCGGGTCGGGCGAAAGGGGGGGATAGCAAAAGGGGGGTTTGAGAATCAGCTCAGGTAGCTGATTTTCCCGGCGCCTCCCGGCGCCGGAGGCGCCCATGTATCGAGGACTGGGCCCCTCGGTGAGGCCGAAACCAGCTGCATGCAGCTAATTTCGTAACCCCCCCTTTCCCAATCCCCCCCTTTCGCCCGGCCCGAGTTGAGCAGGGACCGGCCGTCCCGGCAGTCCTGCAGTCCTACCACGACATGTTCTTAGAACCCAAAACTGTTCCAAGACCAAAGGCAATGTTCGTGGAACGTGAACCCGATATGATAAACTCAAGACAGACTCCGCCAGAAACGTTTCAAGAGCATTTCGCTGGAACCTCAAAGAGTTCTTAGAACATTGTTTGGTAGGGCCCTATAGGCGAGCCAGGACGCTTCGCCACTGCTGGACTCTTCGCTCCCCCCCTCCCGGGCTGGCCGCCGATGTTTGCTCTCCCACCCCATCTTGGGCGCCCGAACTATCCGGGGTAACTCGGGTCCGGGGTAACTCGGGTTCGGAATCCCGAAAAACGAACCCGAGTTAGCCCTGACCCGAGTTACCCCTTATGATGTGGGGCTCTGGACGCCCGAGTTATCCGGGGTAACTCGGGTCCGGGGTAACTCGGGTTTGGATTCCCGAAAAAGGAACCCGAGTTATCCCTGACCCGAGCTACCCCTGATGATTCGGGGCTCTGACCGATGTTGGCTCTCCCACCCCATCAGCCTGCGAGGAGCGGGAGGGCGGCGGGGAGGCGCGCCATATATGCCTTGCGCCCGGCCCGGCGCGGCGAGGGCGGGGTGTGGCCCCCAAGGGCGCTTCCTTGATGCTGCAGCGGCTCCACTGCAGGACGACGACGGCATCACGATGGGCAACCCAGACGTGATTCGGGTCGGGCGAAAGGGGGGGATAGCAAAGGGGGGGTTTGAGAATCAGCTCACGCAGCTGATTTTCCCGGCGCCTCCCGGCGCCGGGAGGCGGCCATGTATCGAGGAATGGGCCCCTCGGTGGGGCCGAAACCAGCTGCATGCAGCAAATTTCGTAACCCCCCCTTTCCCAATCCCCCCCTTTCGCCCGACCCGAGTGATCGCGTCGTGCAGAAAATCAGAACAAGAAATTTTTGGCTGCATTCGGCCCCTGGGAGCCCTCGCCGGGCCTCGGGACCGTCAACAGACGACTCAGGATGAACACCGGTCTGGGGGAAGGGGTCGGGACTTCCAGGGGCCACGCATTGAAAAAAAATCAGGATGACGAATTTCTGGGATCCCGATAGGCAAGGCACGGCAAGAGGCCGATGTTTGGGGGGGGTCGGCCCTCTCAGAGCTCGGCGGGGGCGCTGGAGCGCCAAAACTCAGACAGATGTCGTAGCACACGAATGATTCAGGATCCCGAATCTGAATCACTGACTCCATTGAATCAATCCTTCTCATCAATTTGCCAATGGAGCGGTACGCAAAGAAGGGGCAAATTTGCCTCACATGCAAATGTGTCCCTTCTTTGCGCACCGTTCCATTAGCTGTCCAACGGCCCTCGTTGCTGCAGCTCGTGTGGTACGCTGGGGCATCTGGGGAATTCGGGCAGCCTTTGAAATCTTGGAACATATCATTGTCATGACCTCTTGCTCAGCTGGGATGAGGGGGAAGGGCAGAGGAGGAGGAGGAACCATTGGGAGCTCACCACCGATGGCTTTAGTAGCGGTCTTCGCATGCGTCCCCCCCACCCAGTACAGCTCTTCGTGGCCCCACAGGGAGCTCCACCGAAGGCCCCAGTGACGGTGTTCGCACGCGTCTCCTTCACTCAATACAGCGCTTCGTTGCCCCATAGGGAGCTCCATCGAAGGCCCCAGTGGCGGCCCCGCCACACTGCGGTGCACGCCTCACAATTTCGCGCCCCACAGTGAGTTTTCCACCCAGAGCCCCAATGGCAGCGCCCACATGGCGGCCCCGCCCCATACTGGCACACCCTTCGCATGCATCAAGGCCACATGAGGAGACCACCCGAAGGCGATACCCACAACGACGGCACTCAGAACTCCTTATGGCCGGGCCTTCGCCAGGATACTTTGAGATTGAGGTTGTATTCGAGGTATGTGTGCCTCGCAGATCCGGGGGGGCCATGTTCTGCCGATTGGCCACCCCCAGTGCTCTCTGGTTAGCGGCTGTAAGATCTGTGGCGCGAGCTGTGCGCGCTGCAGTGCAGGCTGCCTGGCGCCCGCGCGGCGCTCGCCGCCGGGCACCACCGGGAGACACCTCGCAGCGCCCCCCCCCCGCTGGGCGCCCCGCGAAGGCACCCTTCGGGCGAGCGCCGGGCGAGACACCCCGGCGCTCTCCGTGGGCGCCCTTCGGGCGAGCGCCGGCCGAGCCCTCGCCGCGCCCGCGCCTCGTGCCCCCCCCCCCGCCGCGCGGGGCGCCCAGGAGGCGCCCGCGGGCAGGCGCCCAGGCGGCCCCCCGGGCGTGCAGCCCCCGGCGGCCGCGCGAGGGGCGCCCCACGAGGCGCCCCCGGGCGCCCGCCCGCCCAGGCGCGGGGCGCGCGCGGGGCGGCCACGGGGCGGGCACCCCGTCGAGGCCGCGGCGTGCGCCGCCCGGGTGCAACCGCTGTTTGATTGGTTTGGAGCAGGGACGAACCGTTCCGGCATTCCTGCAGTCCGACCACGAAATGTTCTATGAGAACCCCAAACACGTTCTAAGGAACAAGAACAAGGTTCTTAGAACAGGAAGCCGATGTGTTACAGCAAGACAGTCCAAACCAGAACTTTCTAAGAACATTTCGTGGAGACCACACCAGGTTCTTAAAACATTGATTGGTAGGGGCTATAGGCGAGCCAGGACGCTTCGCCACTGCTTGATGGTTGTCGGCGGCGAGGCAGGAGGTGGCTGCACCGGCGACATAGCTCTGAGCGGGGGCACCGAGGAGCGAATTTGGCAGCGTGCAAGACAGGAGCCCGAGTGCAAACACAACACTCAAATTGGGGGAACTTGTTCGAGGGGAGCAGGGAGAAAAATCCTGTCAAGACCGCGGGGGGCTGCGCTCAGCAGTCGAACCTGGCCGGAAAACCCCGTGCAACACACGCCTACAAAGTGCTGCCGCCACTCTTCGCCGGAACTTTCCAAGGGGGGGCGCGGCGGACCGACTTGACAAAATTTCTGGGGCAGAAGAGTCTGTCAGTGTGGGCGGCTGGGGGTCGTCCCGTGGCCCTACGGAGGGTTTTCCTGGGGACCTGGCATGGCTTCCTCGAGACTTCGGAATGGTTTCGGGGGGGGGGGGGGGGAACACATCCCCGAGACGGCCCAAAGAGATCCACTCAATGTGTATACGGT